TTGGGCTGCTGGGATCCTGAGAAGCTGATGCTGAGTTCGCCACATGCCACGTTTAGTGCCCGCAAATTTGAGCTTCTCCCTCGACAGCCCCCGTTGGGTTTCGCCTGCCACATTCTTCAGCGACCACAAATTTCCATGTAGTTATTTTTCTTCGCCTTTGGGGCTGCCCCTCCTATCTTTTTGTTTTACGAGGGACTGGGAAGGTTGTGTTCTTCTGTGCCTTTGTAACATGTTAAGCAGAACATAAGCGTTCTAGATGCATTAGTTTTGCAAGTTTCTAAATCTGACTTGGGAGAAGTTTTTCTTTGTAAGCAACTTAGCTTTAAAAATCAGATTAGTTCAAGTGCCAGCTCAGAGAAAAAAAAAAGTATTTAAATATATCTAACCTATTTTAGAACCCTGTTCCTTCATTAAATGTTTGCTTCTATTTTTAAACTTTCATCTTGTTTTATCACTCAACGATGACTCTCATTTTGGAAAAAACTTGTTGATTACATTGCCTTGATAGCTGGATATTAAAAGTATTTTAAATAAGAGCAATACGCGTATTATGTGTGATATTTACACACCAAATTGCTTACAGAATTCAAAAGTAATAATCGAAAAAAATAAGCAACAGATGTGCCCAGAAATATACTATTTTATCTTTTAATATAGCGGGTATTCCTTCGTCGGAACCCATCTAATCGCAGCTTTTTGTGGGGTATTTCTTTTGGGACTTGTGAACGTGCTATGTTTTATTTTTACAACTTCCTTTTTGGCCAGAAGCAAAAAAAGTGAGATGAAGAGGACGATGGCGAAAAAGGGCCAAAAAACAACAAGGAGAATAGGAAATAGGGGATGGGTACTGAAATTTCGGGGCCAGGGGAGATAGGAACTGTGAATCAGCTTTGACTGCTAAAGTGTTCCAATTTTTCATGTCCACATCTGCATACAAACACACACACACATCTAAGCATATGTAAATGTGTATGTTGGCCCGCCTATATCTTCTCCGACTTTTTCTTCGTCTTCGGAATATCCTGCGTGCTTTTTCAGCGTTTGTTTTTCTTTCTTTTTTCCGACGCCCCCTTCCTTGTTCCTCCCTCTGTTTGTTTGAGTGCGTCGTCTTCCGCCTTTCCGTTTCCTTCTGATGGCGCAAATTACAACGCATAATTTTCACATTACGTCAGCGCATTTAGGTGTGTGTGTGTGTGTGTGTGTGCGAGTGTTGGTATCCTGTCTGTACTTTCTTTTTTTTTGCAGCTCGGGAATGCGAATTTTTGTTGCCTTCTGACGTTGGTTAATGCTGCGATATGGAAATCAATATTCCTAATGGCTGTCAGGCGATACAGCCAACCGCACGATCCCTCAAAAGGGGCTGGCAATCACGTCGACATTCGAAATGCATAAATACGCCAGCCCTGTTAATATTTAATCAGCGTTTCTCAAATTAATTAAATCGATATTGAACTGATGTTAAAGCGGTGCACGCGTTTTAGGAATATTGCTAGGGTAAAACACTGAACGCGAAATAAGTGTCTATATTCCCCAGAAAGCCGTAGAATCAAAGCAAGCATGGTATTTAAACAGTTTTAATTTTAAACATTAAGCAAATCGGATAACGCAGTACCTGCACCCTTTTTAGAATGAAATAAACTCCGCGAGCTTATTACATTCTGAACATAATAAGGAACAAGTTTTTTGAACATTTTTATCTCAACTTTAGTAAGAACATATTTTTAAAAGATTTTTATCTCATGTTTATAAAAAAACAATAAGCTGTAACCTTTCTTGTGCAGACTGTTGGCCACACTCGGCGACTCTAGTGATTTTATTCCATATGCCCTCCCCAATTTAGCAGCCGTAATCCTATTGGTATGAACTCACTCAATGTCCTCTACTTTCCGGCATATTTGTGAAAACTTCCAGTCCTCACTTCACCACCAGAGTGGCTTACAGTCCTTGCAGGTCCTGATTGGGTCGAAACTTAGACCAGCATGGCATAAAAGTCAAAGCCGAAAAGCAAAGTGCACACAACACTAAACAACACTAAAACGAAAACGAAAATGAAAATGAAAAAACGTCACAACAGAAGGACGAAAATGTTGGAGACGGAAAACGGCTAAAAACTCGCGGTAATTTGAACCTTTTTCCGTTTGGTTGATTTCTGGCATTGCAGGCCAGCACAGAAATCAAATATCAAAGCGAAAACTTTTACTCTATACGAATATGAGGGCAGCGGGTCGCGGAGGTTGCGACTTTTCTAGATCTGGGCATTCAACGCACGAGTAATCCTCCGTAGCAACAGGTTGCCAGGTTTTTATTTTGACAACTGAGTGGGGCGAAACAACAACAACAACAACAACAGCAACAACAGCAACAACAACAACGGCAGGCAAATAGAAACAAAAACTAAGTGGGAACAAGGGATGGGATTAAGGTGGAGGCAACCTGCAGTTGATTTGAAAATCAAACTTGCATGAAACAATGCCAAAACAATCGGACCAAAAAAGGAGCAAGTGGAAAAGTGGCAAGCCGGCAGACAATGGAAAAGTTTAAAGTCGTTAAAATAAAGGGATTTGCACAATTTAAACAGAGCCCCGCAAAACGTTCGATTGAAATAAGCTACTTTCCCAGTCATTTGGCAGTGCTGATTTGGGAATTGACTTTTAGTTAAGGTTGCCAACCCACGTCCCGTCTCCACACAGGATGTAATCTTTCAACTTAGCTGAGATTTCCACTCTGCTCTCCTTGGGTTTTTCAGCTTTTCTTTGTTTTTTTTTTGTTTTGTTTTGTTTTGTGCCGTTTGCCCAGGTATTTTCCTTTTTTTGTGGCCCTTGCCTTTGCAATTACCAACGGACGAAAATCGAATGGAATTGAAGTGAAGTGAACGGTTTCCTGGCCAACCATGTGAGTTTTCTGCACGCCGAAATTTATCGCTTGCGGATTTATTTTTCAAGAGATATCCTCACTTGATCCTGGCCAGTCTGTTATTGCTTTGGAGGGAGCCAAAAAAAAAAGCGAAGAAAACAAAACATACGGATAAGTTTGTTTTGATATTTGAGCGGAAACGGCAGTGAACCTCTTCGAAACTCATTAAATCTCTGATTACAGCAATTGCTGGGGAAGATGCAGCTGTTTTCAGAAATAATCCCATAAAAACACCATTCAGAATTCGACCATAATAATCCATTTAAATTGTATACATCACAAGTTGCCGAAGTTAACCTTCCACTCAACAGAATTCATTTCCATTCATATGGCCAAAATTACCTTGGGCAAAAACCAGCAATGAAATTAAATACGTTACCAAAATAAAATGCCAAATAAAAGCGTGAAAAATGGAACTCCTCGCCCACTCTTCGCACTCGAGTGCCAAACACACCCGAAATAAACTCCTAAATGGGGCTTCAACGCCGTGGAATGGAAGTGGATGTGGAAGCGGAGGTGGAGTCATTTATTTGCATTTCAAACCCAACCGGAGCGAACGAGCCAACATGAAGAAAATGAAATCGGCACTCTGGCGAAAAATTCATAAAATAAAGGATTTCCTAATTGCCAATTTGCATGCAGCCGCTTCTAATTTTTGCCCATTCGCTGGATAAATAAACTTCATTTCGCGCTGGGTTTTTTCGATGTGCCCTAACGTGGGGTAGTGTAAACTTAAGGCTGAGGTTAATAAGAAAAGTTTATTAAAAGGTAGAACGTTATTCTTAGGAATTCAGAATATATTTCACCCACTAATAATGTAGTATCTATGTGATTATTTTAGGTGATGAAAGTATACAATATATTTTTTGTTCCTACAAAGCTATGACTTTATTCATTACAAGAATCAGTGACCGTTGTTTACAATACTTATGTTATTATACTTTTAAAGTTTAGGTTTTTATATTGATAACCCAATCTTTTTAAATAAATAACTTTAATAGCACTGAATAATGGATTTAGATAAAAATTGGGAAAATTAAAAATTGTAGTCTCACTTACTTGAGTTCGCCTTTAAAAATGTTGGGATTTAAGAGGTAAGATTAATATAAGACTTATTCAGCAGAAAACTTTACTGTTGTCATATTTCATGTTTTTGCCAGATCCACAAAAATTCTCTCCTACATTGAACAATTCATTTGGATGGCTCCATCAGGGTATCAAACTGGGGGCCTAAGCAAAGTCCCATATTTTCGCACTTGTTTGTTTATGAATTTGTTTATTTAGTGAGCAGGCCGTGCTTTGCCGACATGCTATACTATACCACAGCGGACCAGAGCCCCTCGCAGTGGGCTGAATTCGGCTGAATTCCACGCAAATCTTATTTGCCCTTGGCCACCGGACTCACCCGTCCGCCGGCGTCCATAGCCAGGAGCCCGGACTCTGGTGGGCAGGAATTCCACGGTTTTGTTTTCGCTGCCTGCACTGCATATTTCGCTCCGCTTCCACTCCATTCCATTCCACTACTTGCTCTGCGGCGATGGCATGTGCTGGTTTTTTAAATTTGCCCAATTCCAGGCATGATATGTGTGTGGTTTGGGGGTTGGGTGAAGAGTACGAGCCTTATTTGCCTTTTCACTGGCCCGAGATATCCGCGTTGCTCGCGTTATTTATGCAAATGTCAAATATTTTGATATTCCGCTGCCATGTGAATGAAAGCAAACGGAAGTACATTATAAAGTTGCCGCCCCCCGTTTGCCCAAAGTCATTCCCGTATTATTTGGCCAGCAAACAAGCCGAAATGTGCCACTAATATGACCGCCCAGTCCCCTCTTTACCAGCACTCTTTATCCCTCCCTTCCACTTCCATCTCTGAGCAGGCAGCAAGTGGAGTAATTATGGCATTTTTGAAATTCCACCGTCAACCCAGTCACCCAACCACCGCCCACCTCCCACCACCCACTCACCTGGCAGCCTCAACATTATGTTGCCAACACGAACCTCCTTTGTTGCCTTTGTTGTGCCCTTTTGGAGAGCAGGGGAAATGAGTGGCAAAGTAAATTTTTGAAATTATTGGCACGTTAGGTGAATTACTTCGCAGAAAGAATTTTTAATTTCACAATACAAAGTCACTCACAATTTCCATTGATTATCCCCGGGGAGCAGGCCCGTTGAGTGTACCCAAAGCTCGTGGGATGGGCAGACTTGTTTGAGCAATTAAAGTGGTAATTGAGCTACCCAGCCGGAAAGTCAATTAGTCAGCGCAGCCCGATCAATGACTAGTAATTTAAATTAGCTGCCAATCGAAAGTTTTCACTTCAAGTGTGTCCCCTGATGGGAGAGATCAGTGGTGGGGCAGTCCCTCGCGGGCCAATTTTCCCCAGATGGTGCCGACGGGATGGACGACGGCCTTTCGCTTTTCCCTAAAGGTCACCGACTCGTAGTGGTAGCCGTCGACGATTTTTGCGGTATTGAGATTGCATACGAACGCCAGGCTAATGTTGTTCAAATCCACGTAGAAACAGTTGAGCAGGAAGATTAGGGGACTGAAGCGGGCAACCAGTTCGTAGGCGGCTCCCAGCTTTTCGTTCCAAATGCTCACGGAGGTGAAGTTTAGGGGCTCCTTGGCCTGCAGCTCGATGGCATCCTTCATGGTGCGAAAGGTGTGAAGCGTTATAGCCCCGGTGGGCCCATCGCCCAAGTAACGCTGGCTAAGGTCGAAAACCAGAATCGGAGTTGCATTCGCCGGCACGGTCTTGGGATTGCCCACAATGGTCCTGGCCTGCAGTTGCTCCAATCTCTCCAGTGTTTTAACATAGACCGGATGTGAAGAGATCTGCGAATCCAATGGCTCGAGGCGATCCTTTAAGCGATCTACGAACTCCTCGAGCAAGGATTCCTGCAAAAGAAGAGTGGCCACCGCATTGCAGGCAAAGGGATCGTGAAGGGACTCGACGAGGTAGTGCAGGGCGCAGTTGATATCCCCATCTTCGCAGAGTATCATCAGGCGGGGAGAGTTCCAGCGGTATTTGGTCTCCTCTTCCGGTTCCGACTCCTCGTCACTCATCGAGCTCGATCGCGAATGATACGAGATCCTGGGTGCTTTCTTCGGCCTCTCAGCAGCACTATCCTTGGATTTGACACTCGGCTCCACTTCAAGGATCAGCGGAAGGCTTACATCCCGTGGCTTCGAGCAAACAGGATTGTAGATGAAGCCATAGTCGATCAGTGGAATCGGCAGCTGAGGGTACTTATAAATACATTTGATTGCTTCCTCAAGGAGGCTTGTGCTAATTTAGGAAAATATACAAATACTTCAAGGGGTTCATGGGATTAAATATCGTTTATCACTACTTACTTGGTGAGTCTAGCGCTGTGGGTGGAAAAATTATTTTAATATACATAGCTGAAAGATTTAATTGGTAAAACATAAAAGCCAATGGATATTTTAAATGCATTGCGAGTTTTTTGAACAGTAGGTAAAATATATGGCTTTTAAAACTACTTTTAGATGAGTCTGCAGATCGTGCTTATTTTTATCGAGTTCACCGGACTTCCGTACACTATACTATAAGTGATTTTCGTGACATTTCTGTATGTTAATTTCTTAGAAGTACTTAGAATTTTATTTACTTACGTATACATTTTAATAAATTAAAAAATACAAAATAAACTATCCAGAACTAAATATATAATGCTTATAGACTTTTCTCGACAAGCCTTTTAAGTTTCAATAGATTTTGAGTTTTGGTTCAATTCAGAGAGTTCCATTTTTGCCTAAGAAAATTATGATTGAATTGAAACCTGAACTCTTACTCGCTAATCAACTGGAAAAGCCTACCCGCCATGGTATCTTAGTTTCCGATAAGCACCGCACCCACGAGCCCAGTATCGCAGTGATTTATCAAATCACACTCATCCACACACACAGTTCACACTTGACTTGTGCAGTTGACCGCCCATCCAAGGCCGCCCCCAACGACCTTATTGTGGGCACAGAGATTTACAGTTGATTTAACCGTTTAAGCATGGCTAATGCATAATAAACGTTTGGCCGCAAACTTTTCAACCACTTCTGTGGGCATGTGTGAGTAAACTGCCTGCGTATGTGACTGGGTGATTTTCCGGTTTGTTTTTCCCTTTCTCAGCCTCCTGTCCAACCTATTTGAGATAGAAATCATGTGCAGTCATTAGATTGTTTTTCGATTGACGTGACATGATAATGAATGATTTTCTTTTGGCCCTCTCCTTTGTTTGCCTTCGCTTTTCTCGCTGGGGCGGCCTTTCCGCTTCCTTTTCCTTGGGGTCGCAACTTTTTGTGGCGCCCAACGTGCAATTTGTGCGAAAAGTGGGTGTGCAAAGTGGCGACGTGGCCGTCGAAAGGCGACAGGCGGCAGGTGGCATGTGGCAGGTGGCGGCCACTTTGTTTGCTGATTTGTTTATGGCCGACCATAATGACCGATGAAGTGCCAGCTGGACGCCTCAAGTGGTTGTTAACCTAAGTTTCGCCGGCGAAATTAACACGAATTGCAATTAAAGTGGGCACGAGAATTGAATTGGAGCCCCCATGACAGCCCATTCTCATTCTGGCGCTGTCAAATGCACTCAACCGAAAACATATATTGTATTTCATTAATATATTAGAACATAAGAAACAAATAATTGATTATTTTAGGTATATGTATGTATGTATTTTAAACTTTAAAATAGACTTTTTCCTTCAGCTTAATAAAATTGTTTTAAAAGCATATCCCTTAAAAATACTTTTGACAGTTAAATGTTCACAAAGCTATCATTTTATATTTAAACCTGAAACTTTTAAAATATTTCGTTAACTTGCTTGTACAGATGCGGAGACACATAATCGCATAATATTTATTAAAACATATTCACTGGTGCATATTTTTGTTGAGTGCGCTGATGGTTTTTCCTTAATTGTTTTGAAGGAGATGCAAATATATTTGGATTGTACAATACTCACCGTTTTTTAAAGCGGCGATTGACATCTGTGGCAGCTTGGACTGACTGCTGCTGACAGGTGTGACAATGCCGGAAAAGTGTCGCCGGCAGCTTGAAAACTTCGAGGGCTATTCACCTGCTCAGAGGAGGAGCAAAAATGGGGGTGTGTACCCGGTTCATTAGGGGACTATTTAAATAAAACGCCTGTTAACTACAGGACGAGACATGCGTGTAATATGAGAGATGGTTGTGTAATTAAAATGTATAAATGGAATCAAAAGAATCAGTCAAAGAAAGCCGCGCACACAAAAAAGGAATTAAATGTACCACGTCTGTTGTATTATAAGGACATTTCCATTTCCTACGGACACATGGAGGCCTTGACAGGGGGAAATGGCGGTGAACAAGCTCTTGACTCCCCTCTCGACTAGCCACGCCCCCTGCCAACGCCACCGCCCACGTGCCACTCCTTTTGCATGTCCTCGTCGACGTCGTCGTAGTCTTCGCAGTTCGCAGTTCGTCTGGTTCTTGAGCGGCGACGCTTTGTTTTGGCTTAATTAATACGCGTTTACATGTTGCCGACTTACGCACGCTTCGCATGTCTCAGCAACACATCGCCACCCACACTCACACACTCGCATCCAAGACACAAGGCCGCCCCGGGGCCCAGGACATTCCCGCCCCCTTTGACGCACTGCGGTTGACACGCAAATGCAATTTGTGTGCTAAAGGTAATTTCTGTCTCCAGGTCTTGGGTCGCTTCCACATTACAAATGACTGGAATAAATATTTAAATAGGTCTCCTTGTTTCGCCTTCTTTCTTTCGGCTCTTATGAAACTTTAATTAATGCGTTAGCTACACACAAATTTTAGCCAAGCACGTACTTGCGGCCAAGCAGATCATTAATTAGGTGGGGTAATTGCACAGCCCGCCGTTTCACTTCCGTTTGTGCCGAATTTCCATTTAAATTTCCATTTAAGGCCGGCCACAGCCCCCCGGGCATTAACATATGCCGCGGGGCAGGTTGGTGATAAAATCAAAATTTTAATTTAATTAAACACGAATTGAATTTGTTGTAATCAATTAGCTCGGTGTTCACTGAGCAACGAATGAGTTTCACGGCCAGGTGCATAGATCCTGGGCAAAGATACCAGTGGCACACACATTTGTAACCTCTTAATGGGATGAGGGCTAAATTGTGACGAAATTCCAAGTCGGATAAGATCTTCGGGAAAATGCAGGAATTAGCCATGGGAGTGCTTTAATTAATGGGAGTGATTTTAGTGCAAGTCCCATTGACTTTGTACTTTTTATGGCGGCAATAATGATTTTAATTGTGGCCTTTGTTTGCGGACATAATGACCCGTGGTGTTATTTCTTGTAATTATGTAACAACAAATTGGGTCTTGCATAAGCATCATTGAGAACACTTGTGTGTGGAATGGCATAATTTTAATTACTATGTAAAATAATGACTCCGCGCCATTTTCACTTTGTTTGCTTTCACATTAACGAAGCGAATTAATGACAGCCAAGTCCAGATGTCAGCTTCCTCGGTCAGCCGGGAATTCGGTGAAAAATCAGCATTGACGGGTAATAAATTCTCCACAAATTGATGATTTTTCCACTGATATATTTTATTTTTAAATTCACACGAGCCACTTCAATGAAGCGCAGAGGGTTTTTCAATCAGCTTATGGCTCAAACAATGCAGACGGAGAGCAGCCAAAATTCTAAGGAAATTCCCTGCTGAATCGGTGAGGACACATATTTTTGGTTGGAAATTAAAATCAGAAACGGGCAATATTTCATGAATGCAAATTAATGGCTTAAACGCTGCAGAAAAATGGGGAGCGGGAAGTTGAGCAATGCAAATATTTTTCCTGGATTTATGCAAATTTTTCCCTGTGTACTCACATGGAAATGCGGTGGCTGAAGTTGGGAAAGTTGTATCATGCCCGCCAGAGTGATTCCAGGCGTGGGAGTGAGGGCGTGGCCCGTGGGGCATATCCGTAATACAATAATAATTATATGCAAAGCAAATTGAAATGCCAAGTACAAATTTTTTACCCCCAGCACGCTGCTGTTATCTCCTTACAGGTAAATAAGGATAAAAGAATCACGGAACGGGAAATCTGCGACTCATGGCGTGAGTAAGAAGATTTTTTATCCGCCGAACGCTGTTGACTTTCCGCAGGGCTTCAATATTGCGTGTCTGCCGGGATTCCAGATACAAGATTAACTCGGAAAGTATGTGCGTGTACAGCGGGTCCGTGTGCGGGTAACCCAAGCCAAACGAAGTGAAACGAAATAATCGAGACATGCAATCTGGGGAAATGCATCATTAACGACTAATTAGTGACCGTCCCACATGCTGGCAGAACGAAATGAGCTGCGAAGCGAAATCAATGTCGAATTGGAATGGAATTGTGGCCGAAAGTTGCCTCCACTGCTGCCGGCTCAGACTGTACAATCCTGTCTGCAGTTCGAAATTAGCAACAGTTTTCCATCCATTTGCCTCGCGTTTGCCTTCGCCAACTCACAGTCTTATCGTTATCAAGGGAAGCCCATAGGGGCCGTAATGCATTGCAGGCGACTCTTAAGTGCAGCTCTGGGCCCTGAAAGTGCTTACTGCTTTGGTGGGCGTACGCGGCGTATGCGCAATAAAACGCATCTCAATAGATTATTACGGCGCCATAACTTCAAGCCGCACTTCGACAACAGGCCGTATTGTCTTTTGGCCCAGAGCTGGTGCACTTCAGTCGGATGTTGACGGTAAACACAACATTTTGCAGCTCGCTTAGCGCACTGTGGAATGTTCCACAAAGTATCGATATCAAATGATTTAATACGACTTTAAATATAAAAACAACACCAATCATTGCAAAGAAAACAGAAAAACAGGTTAATATTGAAAATGATAAAAATGCGAAAAGATAATCTATTTGATTGTATTACAAAAAAAGAATTTTGTAAAGCGATAGTAAAGCTTGTATTTGAAATTATCGATAGTGTCACTTATGCACAGCACTTCTTCCTATTTTTATTTTAATATTAGCGACCATATATATACCTATTTATCATAAAACATATCCGCTTATTCCAGTTCATTGAATAAAATGCATTTCCAGGTCAGGCTTTCAATGAATGTGCTTCAACTTAAAATATGCAGTCCACAGAAAAAGCCGGCGTTGTTGTTTAATATTCCTCAGAATTCTCACTACATTTCGCTCTTACAGACCATTGTACTTGAAGAAACTTGGGAATGCGCGCTGTGCGCGACTCGCTGCGGTTACCCTGTTCGTTTATTATGCCATTCACAGTTTAATAATGATAATAACGTCAGGATATTAAAGTTTTCCTGCCCGCCAGCCGGAATGTCGAACGCCTCCGCCGCAGGATTTCCCTTTTTCTCGGCCCGTGACCCGAGTTTTCCCAGTCTCGCCCTGTGCGGCATTAAAACTATAATCAGTTTATGCAATAAAGTAAATTGTGTACGTAATGCGTGCTGATGGTATGTCTTTTATTTATTTATTTTCTTGTGCGCTACTTTTTATTATTACGGCTTAAACTTGCTTAGCGCATTTAATGCCCTTTTCTCCACTGTCGGGTGCCGAATGGTGGGGTTCTGTGTCCCGTCAGCTGGGCCCTCCCCACCATAAACGCGTTCAATATTAATAAAAGTTTGGCCAAAGTTAATTAAATCTGCTTTTTAATGTGCAGCCATGCATGAGCAGCCAAAGCGCGAGCGTAATAAATTGACCGTAC